AATATGGATCTCTTGTTTCATGGTTTATCCGTGTAGCATGTGCTCTGCATAGGAACAATAAAATGGGTCAGGAGTTCCTTTGAGATCATTCTTCTTTGAAATCATGAAGATAACCCCCTCATTTAAGACAATTTACATCAGATCCCCAACCTGAAACCAACCTACCGAAAACCCAATCTTTTTTTGCACAACGTTTGCGTTCAAAAAACAACCCTCAATTTCTGACATCTATGTTAAGAAATGCCCCACATTGTATTTTGGATCAAAATACCCTTCATAGAACATGGATAGTGAGTTAGAGAGCGGGGACAGTTTTTCTTTAGTGTACATCTACTCCTTCTATCAGAAGGCCTATTTGGATGGAATTTTTCAATCTAAAATTTTGTGAACCACCTAAGAATCTCTAGATGATTGTTCTCAAAAGAACAAACTTGATTTTTGAGTTTCTAATAATCTTACCTTCTAAAATTGGGCTAGTCTTTATTCAATCTTGAAATGTTACTCTTTAGAGGACAATGAGCAAATTATTTTTATCCAGGTTACTTTATTGGTTGAAGAGGTTGCATCCCCAAAATTTGGGTTTCTAAAATTATCCTACATGGAGTTTATCCAGTCTTACTTGAGTAAATGGACAATATACTGCTATAGGAGCATAGTATCTTTGGTTTTTTTTTTAATGCAGTTTCAAATGTGAGAAAGGTGTTTTAGTCAAAATTACAGAGAAACAACCACTAATTCTTATACCAAATTGTGAAATTAAGTTTCTGTTGGTTGGTGTTTTTTTTGAAAGGATGGTAATGAGTTGTGGTTTGGATCTAAATTTCTGGTCTTTTTACTTTGATACCGGTTGTGGGTGTAGCATCGAGGGGGCTTATCTGGTGCATGGATCTGCCATGCCAACATTATTTGTGCTTCACATCAGTTCATCCCATCTATTGAGACACGGGAAGTCTGGTAATTTTTTCCACTTAAAAAGCTTGAACTAGATTAAGCAATGCCCATGTTTGTTTGGAGTTGAGAAAATAAAGCTACTAAATGACCAAATTCCCTGTAGTTGTTCAAGGTTAGCAATATGGAACTAGGGCTATTTTTGTTGTTTGGTAGCTCCTATTCTCACCCCTATTCAAGGGTAATAATTTGGAATGTTGAACAAATTTTCTATGGATGTACTTTTATGAAATTAAATTAAAAGAAGTCAATCGTACAGTAAAAAGGGGGGTCTTTTGATCACTTTAATGATATTGTAAGATACTTTGAACCCTATAGTTCAAGCGATAATTTTTTTTTGGGACTATATGTAATGAGATCATTTACCTTTGATACAAGGTGGTAATAATTACTTAGAACCATCCGGTGTAAAATATGATAGCTCGGGTGTGTCAAAGTTTGAAAAACTTTATTTTGAAGTTTGAGTTTGATCAATAGAATTAATGCATCCACCCAATGTTATTTTCATTGGTCAAGATTAATTGTGATCATTCAGTACCAATCGTAAACGGTCTCTTTTTATACTTTTCCTTTTTTCCAATGCAGTTTACAACAAGTTTCCCCCACCTCAAGAAAAAAAAAAAAAGAAAATCTTCTATAAAAAAAAAAAAAAGGTGATGTCGACAACACATGGAGCGATGAACTTCAAAATCATTTTCACCACGGAGTAAACTATCCCGAGGTCGCGGTGGGCAAGGCTTAATCCATTAAAAATGGCTCCTACATACATATTTTAGCTTGTTCTGAACCATGTTAATGGTAGGAATGGAGGGTGGGACATTATATTGGGGCATCAACCCCCTAGCATTCAATGCCTAAACTCCATTCCTAACCCATAGGTTCTTATTAGTCATGGCTTTTGTGCATGAATGAACATGTTACAATGTATCCATATGCGAAAGTATTGTAAGATCCAATAGGTTGTCTAATAGAGATGGAGACACATGCAATGCCAACGGATTATATATCAAAGATTCACTAATAAGGGAAAAACAGCATTTTTAGGATCTTAAATTTTGGACCTGTAATTGCAAAATTATGAATAACCTTAAAAATTAAATTATAATAATAATACTAATAACTCTATATATGTGCCTTAAAAATAGCATCTTAAGAATGAACAATGACCATTAGATGATCAAAACTAAGTGCTTAAGAACGTATTTAATGCATTTTCTCTAAAAATACTCAAATTGTGATTGTAGAGTGGGTTCTAAATCTTCCCATCAAGAAAATCCTCTAGATATTTGCCCAAGGGAGTGGATATGCAATGTGCTCCTGCAAGAGCCAGCTTTGCATGATTTCAGTAATATATATTGTATGTATTTTGCTTATATTTACTTCCTCGGGTAAATGACTAACTTGGGAAGAAAATTTTTATTCCAAAATTTTGGGAACCACCTAAATCACTGAATGATAAAATTCAAAAGAAAAAAAAAAATGAATTTTCTAATTTGTAACACTTGGATCACACACTTCAAAAATTGGACGGTTTTGAGGCATTAATTTTTTTAGGGCCATAGAGACTGCAATTTGGAAATTTTTTCTATTAAAAATAGCATATAGATTGAAGAGGTTACTTCTTAAAATTTTAGTTTCCCAAAATACTTGTACATTAATTTGGGTTTCAAGTAAGACATTACATCTCAAGAATTTAGTTTCCAAAAAATACTTGTATATTAATTTGGGTTTCAAGTAAGACATGAAATCTTTTGGCATTTCATTATTTCCATAATGGTAGGTCCCATTTTTCCTCAATCATGCCATGAAGGAAGTTGATTTTTCATGCGCATTGGATCGTGCATACTTTCCCTTATCCACAATGTATGCATGGGCCCAGATGGATTCCATTTAATGGCATTTAGGCAGATATTTTATTTAATTTAAAATTTTTGAATGGATGACCTTGTTATTCAAACATTGGAGTTTAGCTGGAATGGCATGGGTGAAATTATCGTTAATATACTTTTATTTTAATAAAATCGAAAAAAAAAACCATAACTTTTCAAAACCTCGTCTATGCCCGTTTTTACAAATTTCATTTTTTTTTTAGCCAAAATAACCCTCACAATAGTCTTTTTACCGCAATACATTTTAAGCTTTACGGTAATTAAAACACCGTAAAAAATTCAAAGAGTATTACGTTAATTTAAATGGGATAATAGTTTGAATTATTATTACAGCAATTTAATTACCGTAATGTGAAGAAATCTTTACGATATTCTTATAATACTTTCCCTGTGTTTATTGGTTGAAAAGCTTCAAACCAAAGCTACTATCAAGGCTATGTCTCTCCTTGCTTTGTGAACCAAAAGAAAAGCTGAGCAAAAGGATGGGAAATGATCAATGCCTGGAGTTTGATTTCTCGAGGCCAAAGAATGGATACAGCTACACGTCGGCTTATTGAAGCCATAGCGTAAATACTGAAATCTGTGTAGTTTTTGGGGATTTTTGAGCCTCAAGAGTCCAGGTCTCGCCTTCTTTCATCTGTTTACCTGCTTGTGTTTAGCGCTCTCTCTCTCTCTCTCTCTCGCGATTATGCCCCCCTGCAAGATCGAATTTTCTTGTTGTCTGATGACTCTCAAGCACTATCCGTCCCATCGTGTGCCTAAAACCTTCTTTAACCATTCAAGTGCACATCACGGTACTAATATTACGGTACTAATATTGCTGTAAAGAACGTGAATCTTATGGTAATTAAATTACTGTAATACTACTTCAACATATTAAAGTATTTTAATTACCGTAATGATTTTTTAATTTATTCGGTATTTTAATTACCGTAAAGCTTAATATATTTTACGGTAATTTTTATTACCGTATAATTTGTGGAAGTATTACGGTACTACGAGTGTTTGAAAAATTCGGGTTTTTTTTTCTATTTTATTAAAAATTAGATATATTAGCTATAATTTCCCTGAGGGAATGCTTAAAAGGTGCGAAATGGATCAAATTGAATCAGCTTCATACAAGGGTCCAAAATGAATTTTATTTTTTATTTTTAATTTAAAAAATGACATTAATATGAAATGTGGGTTTTGGTTTTATTTTTAGATTTGATTATTTTTATTAAATTAAATCTAAATACCAAAATTTAGAAAAATATATTATTTAAATAAAAATAAAAAAGAAAATGCTGAAATTAATTTTTGGCCCTTATACATGACCTTGTGAAATCTCAACCATTGGAATTTTCCAATATACAAATGCCACAGTTATATACAATGCTTTCTCTTATTGATATAGCTCTCGACGTACATGAATGATAGGAACTATTTTAAACATAATACTTTGAAAAATCAAATATAATAATCAAAGACATTTTGGTACTTCTTTTCCAAGAATTTTGTTTGAAGTTTGTAACCAATAATAAGTAGGTGCATTTTGGTACTTTTTTCCCAATTAAGTAGTTAATCTAAACAACTTTCTACGATTCCATACTGCGAGTCAATTTATGTTTATTACAATACAATTATCTTTAACCATTAGATGTCAAGTTGGATGGCTTGGAGTCTATCATGAAGTTCTAAAAGTTCTTTTTGACTTTGAACATAGTTAATGACAATCTCAACAACTTGATTTCAAATGCAATAGATAAGATTGATTGTGTTCTTCTTGTATCAAAGCTAAATAGTCTCTATACGTACTTTCTAAATTATTTATCCATATTTGTTCATGTATCAAACATGCAATAAGATTATACTTATTCGACTTGAAAACAAAAACAAGACAAAATATTTAAGTCACTTGACTCGAGTAGTATAAGGAACTGAATCACCAACATAGTTTTATTTACTCAAGATTATACACTACGAGATATCTAATGGCACAATTATTTTTAGCCATTAAATATGTTACAACATTCATCAATGTGTTATAACATTTCAGAAATTTTCATTTGAAGTTTTGCTTTGAGATACATTCTCATCCTCCCAATTTCACATCTTATTTTTTATAAATTGCAAGACAAATAAGCCCTTTAAAAGAGCAACCATGTAAAACTCGTGCGTGCCAATTTTGTAATTAGTCTCGAAACAGTGGGCATTTTCCTTTTCTCCCCCAGGTTTCAATCCAAATGCATTTCCTCTCTCTCCTCTCTCTCTCTAAAATCCCCTCTATTTTTATCTGCACATTTTTCCAGGAATCTCTTGTCCAAGATTTTCCATTTTCTTTCTTTTGGAGTTTTATCTTCTGTTTTCTTTCTCCTTCAATCCGCTGTGAGCTTCCATTGCTTTAAGCAAATTCATACCTCTTCTTTGCAATTTTTTCCCTTTTTGATGTGATAATGTTTCTCTCTCTAAACGCCTTTTCTGTATCACTTTTCCCTGATACGCATCTGAATAACAGGGCTTTTCCTCCATTAAATCTGAGCAAAGAGCTCTTTCCCTCTCTTGATAATACTAGCTTCAAAAAGTTGCAGGGACTTTTGATTCAGAGCAAAGGAGAGAGAAGGAGAGCAGAGGTTCAGGCTTCTTTGCTGGAACAACCAGTTCTGTGGGCCGGCCGAATGTGTGTTTTCTATGCTCTGTTGAAGGTTGGATTAGCTGGACCTCAGTCCAATCCATTGATCTCAGGTATGTGAGCTTGGATCTCTCTCGTGTTCGATGATGATATCTCTCTGGTGTTCGATGATGATTATTTTTCGCTGGAAATTGCAGAATCTGGGAATGATTTGGGCTTTTCCAAGTGGCTTGAAAACTTCCAGGGAAAAGCAGGTAAAACCCCATTCATTTTAGAGAGAGAAAGAAATCCATTGAAATCAGTTATAGAGAACTTCCAACTTTATCAGGACTTCATTTTTCTCGGTGAAAATGATCATTTTTTTCTTTGTGGGTTTTTTATTATCTTGTGATTATTTCTGCTATGGATTTACGGATAGTTTTGGCACTTTTACAGGCAATTCCTGAAGCTCGATTTTGATGCATTTCTATTCCAATTCCTTATATTTTCTCTCTTCAATAAACTCCCTTGAAACTTCAGCCCACTGTGTTTTAATGGAATTTGAATTTATTTGTCAAAAGATGAAGAGAGAGAAGCAAGTGACAGAAGAAAATTGGTGAGCAAATGGCATCCAACAACAAAAGGAACTCTGAAAAGGAGTTACAGAGTTCCATCTAAAACAGTGGGGAAGCGCCTGCTTAAAGCCATTGCTTCATTGCTTTCAGATGATGACCATTTCAGAGATGCCACCTCTCATAAGGTAAATTACAGATAGCCAGAATCACTTAACAATCTTAATTCTTAATAGGTTCTCCTGAGAAAAAGAGAGATAATTCCTTGCATCATTTAGAGAGAGGGAGAGTTTATAGTGACACTTTTCTGCTGAACCTGAACTGATCTGTCTATAGTTTCCTTCCTATTAAATCTGAAACTTGCTCGGTTGTGATATTTCATTGTGCTGGTCTTGTGCTGCTCATTTTAACTAACAACAAAGTACAAAAATAGCTTGACAACTGAAGAACTCCGGCATGTGTGTGTTTTTCTGTGTGTGAGTGTGTGTGAGAGAGAGAGTTCATTGTATCACTTTTCTAATTGCCGAATTTCCTTTTGCTGGATTGATCTTTTTAGAGTTTCCTTTGTTTTCAAACTGCTCATTCTAGCAATACTTTTGAGGACTGTAGAACTCTGGCTGTTGTGTGCGTGTGTGTGTGCGTGTGCGTGCGCTTGAGAGAGAGAGAGAGAGAGAGAGGGATCATTATATCACTTCAGAAAAGAATCTCATTTTTCCGAATCAGTCTTTTTAGAGTTTCCGTTCTATCTAAATCTTAGTGTTATTCACCTGTGTGTGCGAGAGAGAGAGAGAGAGAGAGAGAGTAGTTGGTGTAGTTGTCGTACTAGTTGTTACTAGTCGTCTCGTTAGTTTACGTTAAGGTTAAGTTGGTTATCGTACCTTAATAAAAGTAGGAA